CTATTTCTATAGTAGGGGTGTTTTCGCCTTGTATTCGCAGAACTGACAGGACGATGAAGGGATTGCCTCACATTTTCTTCGCTATCTAGTGCAACGCATGGCCCATAATTTGTTCATGCGGGACCGTAAGCAGTGTGTCCTCTTCCAAACAGGCGAGGCGTGTGTGTCACTCCCAACTGGTCCAACAAAATGTTTACTTTTGGCGTTTTGTTTACTGGCATAATTTAATTATTGTATTGCTGTGTGCAATATGAAGGGAGTGCAGTAATAAGAGTCTGATTTGAACCTCAAAGATGCCCTGCAAAAATAATTTGAGGTGGTAGTTCCTTCGAGCAAGGAATTCACTTTGTTGTGCTTCGGTGAAACTAAATGAGAAATGCGTAGGATGTCACTGGTTTGCAAACAGCAGGGCATCAGACGATGTTCAGCATGATGTTCTTGGGTGGGCAAACCAGAATGTCTGAGACGACGGCCATGTTGTTTGATGAAAACGCCTTATGGCTGCTGCTGACTTTAATTTATCTGGTCGATAATAATTAATTTGTCATTCATTAAGCGATGTAAATTCAGGTTTTATCAATGCTTAGGTTTGTTAAGGTATCGCTTAAATTGAGTTAAACATCATAAACGTTATTCTCATTCACTGAGTTTGTGTGAACCGCTGTCCATGTAAAACCCTTCTTTCAAAATGAGGAGAATTCCCCCATCACATCGATGTTGCCACGCGATGAAATTGCATCAGATCAGTATAGAAAAAAATATGAGCAATGCCTTCGAACATGCACCAAAAATTGCACACCTCATCGGTCAGCAATCGGTACTACCGGTACTTGGCGTGAAATGCTTGAACTTTCGCTCGGATAGAAAACTTCAGCGATCATGAAATGAAGCTGCGTCTGTTTCTACTTTGGCAGAAATTCGAAAAGTATTCACCGTATCACAAATGACGGATAAATGTCAACGCGAAAAACACACAAGAGTACCTACAGAAGGACTGTAGCAGGCGTAAAGAGTTCTGGCAGTCCCGGCGACAAGCAACGTGCTCTTCGAATGTTAGCTTAGAAAGAGTGCCGATGATTAGCAACAGCCGTGTACCAACGTGCACCCTTCTGGCAAAGCTGTTCTACTTGGAGTTGCAGTACAAAAGTTACTAGCTGATTTGCCGGTTTCAAGGATTAGCGACGTGAAGCAATGTGATTTTGCCGTTAGACTGAAAGTCCACGGTAGCACCCGACGTGAGGATGCTAAATAATATCCTTAGCAATTATGCTCACATCTGCATGATAGCATTCCAGAAAACAGCTCAATACTTATGTGAACGTTTCAGCCAGGAAAGAGCTCTTAACAAAGACGCTTATTCTGTGAAACTGAGAAGCTTCCGAACAAACTGCCAGGCATTTTCAGTTTCTGGAAGATGTTTGCTTTTGATGCTTTATTGTATATCAGTTTTAACCTGTTTCTGTGACCTTCTCCACCGTTGAGCG